TGGTCAAATAAAGGCGCGTGCGAGCGGACAAGATTGTTTTTGTAAGTGTAGGGCAGGTTCTCGGTTACAGGAGTTCCATATTTACTACGGTGCCAGGCAGAGGTCGCGAGTGAAACCACAAAGGCAACACACAGGGTCAGCATTGAAAGCCGGGAGAGCGAAGGAACAACGAGACGGACCGTTCGCGATAAAAGGAATGTGACATAAGTTGGGGTTGCTTATCGATATCGCTTGGAAATATGCAACGACGCTACGCAAGAAGAAAAGTCATTAACACGACGCTCTGGCGAAAAAGAAAAAAAAAAAAAGAACGAGAGGGGGGAAAAAAACGCAATGATAACGTATCGCGCGGTTTCATCGACGGCGGCCGGCTGAGCAACTAACTATATGTATAGTGGCCGCAGTGCATCGAATTAACAAACGTAAGCCGAACAGAGTTGAAGGAAATAATAAATGCGCGCATAGCAAGCGACAACTTCGCAAGTCTGTGCGTTACACGCGATGGTAACGCTATTAATACAATATGTTAAAGGCTCCTTATGCCGTCGCATTCATTGTTGTCGTATCGCGGGCACGTACTGCTGGGATATTTCAATATATACGTGAATTAATTCTTCGAGCAGGATATTTATCTACGAACAAAAAATTCTATTATTCGTGGAATCCATTTTGAGAGCGGTCGATTGAAATATACAGTCGGTCTTGCGAGTGTATATTCGTACCCTCTGTGTCTATCAAAGAAATTTGTCTAAATCAAGTGGTGGGTTCGATGTTTCCAAAGAAATGTTTCGTTTTGAACGTGCACGTGAATATGGATAACAGATAAAAATTAATATTAAAATCGAGCCGATGATAATAAAAGGTTGATAAAATATCAGTATCTCGAAAGATGAGCTAGTTTAAATAATTTCTTATGATTGGTTGATTTTACAAGCGCTACGTTTCCCATACGGACATGCTAGCAATAAAAATCGATATTTGCAAAACTAACAGAAACAAAGATGACATTCGAATATAGTCAATATAAAAAGTAGTAGTCGTAGAAAAAGTTGCAAGAAAGCGTAGGCGTGCTTAAATTTCCTAGATTCCCAGTTTCTAATTTTCGATTTGTATTTGAATGGCAGCGAATAACAGTTTGTCATTTAAAACGTATTGGCAAATGTACGTTGCAACGATCTTTGATCTTATTAATTATTAATCTCGCCCGTTATGTAAGTACGACGATAACTATTCCGATTAATTGAATAATTGATTACAGATATTTAGGATTTACTGTCCGGAAGGAATAACATGTATTTCGTTCGTTTACCAACGACTGATAACGTGGAACCGATTAGGATTCTCGTGTACCGTGAACTTTCGTGAACCCTGATGTTCTTCCCTTGGAAACGAGCTAAGCGAGGAAAAAGATCTCTGTACTGCGTTCTCGATGCAGCCGACCCGGTTCATATAAACAATATATCAAAATACGTTTGAAAAGCAGATGTTCTTGATGTTGTCGGCACAGAGATAACGTTTCAAACACAAATCTATTGGCATAAAAAATCATTAGGCGGTCTTATCGTGACCTGTGCAACCAAGATACCAATTTTTTTCCCTTATCAGTGCACATTTGTCCCTTATTCAACGCGAATGCCGCGAAATGAACAGATTTATGTATCGGGTTTCCTTTGTAACATTTCGCTGATTTATGCACAAATATATTATTTTCATCGTTGTGAATTTTTAGTGGTTACATTCGAATAAATCCAAAATATTCGCGAAAATAATTCACTTGTTTAACGACGGAGATACAAGCTACAGAAAAATTGTACATGAAAATTGTATATGTAATTGCACATGAAAATAAAAATTTGATATTCTCGTTTCCTGTCTCGAAGTTGAGACGTTACGTTTTCTTTGTGCTCGTATCTTATCCTGCGGTGAAATATCGTTGCTTTCCTAAAATTCGACAATAGAATACCACTAAGCTGAACCGTTAACCGCGATTAGAGGATGGATAACGTGCCTGATGTATTAAAAACGTTCCCTATACTCGATTAAATTTCTTACGTCTATGTTCAGTCGAAGACGGGCATTTTCAGTCGACACAAAACAATTCGGCCTTGGAGAGGTAAAAATGATGCAAGATAAAGTATACGTACTCCTTCGGTTGTTAAGTTCTGATAATAAATGTATTAATAGAAATAAATGTTTGTTCTACACGTTTGTCTATACTCAACTCTTATACTAACTTGCAACTCTTTTTCCACCCCAAGGTCGTGACCTTTATTTTGGAACGCGCTAATCCGTTCAGGATAAGGACTTGGAAGGTCGGTACTTAAGGTCGGCTGCCAAGCTAAATCTCGTGAAAATTGTTATAAAGTTAAAATTTTGTCTCGAGACTATCGGAAATTAGATAATTTAACATCTGTCGTAGTATTTATTTTGTTAACGTCAAATTCACGAATCCTGTCCAGAATTATTTTCATTATTGTCTCCCCTTTGAAATTAAGTTTTTCAATTCCTTCATAAAGAGTCCTGTCACCCATTTCTGGATCACGTGGCTACCAACGTGTTAAGGCGCGAAAATATTTTCCAAGTTCTCGACCTGCACTCACGAAACCAACGATCAAACAAACGAAAATTCTCTCGAACGGTTCCCTGCGAACGAAAGGACAAACCAAAGTGAAATGTACAATTATTTTGCGCGTTCCAGTGAGCACGAGGTGACGACTCCGCGGTGAAATTCGATTGTTAACCGTTGTGAGTCAATCGTCTCGTAAAAATGATGCAACGCGATTATCTCGAAGCCTCGAAAGATAACATTTATTCTGTTGCGATTCCTCGGGGAATAATGAATGCGTACATATGGAACCGTCCAACGAAATGAGTCATTTGTCGAAATATATCGAGCGGGAAAACAAATCTTGACGCAATTAGGAATTTCGACGTATCAACGAACTCGACAATGAATATTCGACGATCGCCTTCGGTTACCAACGTTACGGCGGCGTGATGCCGATGCACGTGTGCATCCTTGCAATCTTATCGGCGATTGTGTGAATCAACTTTGAACTTTCGTTCACTTTTAGAACAGAAATGTGTACATATACCTCAACTCGGAGAAATACATATATTAGGTGTAGATATCAATTTCGTGCTTTTCTAAGGTAAACTTACTATTCATTTACGAAGAAACTTACTCTCGTGCAACTTTTAATTTTTTCCACACTGACGCATTCTAAGTGAACGTAGTTTTGTTCGTTTTTAACGAAATTTTGTATAAGAATAAAAGAGTACAGAAAATATTTTTCTCCGGTTTACACGAACTAGACATCCTGTTTGCGAATTCTCATGATTCCGTGGATCATAGTTTGAGCAACACTGCAGTAAACGATGCAGATATCGCCGACGTGATCGTTGTAAGCCCGACTAGTATCGTAACGCTCCTCTTAACGCTTACGAGATTCGAAGCAGCCAATTAACGACTAATTCCTACAACTCTGTTCAAGATACATAAATGCATATCTGAACTGTAAAATTCCGGCTAATGATTGATTCGACTGAACTTCATTTCACTTAAACGATATCGAACAGTTGAACCATTGAAAATGGAATTATAGAAAATGCCTAAGCTACTTATTCCTACCATGAAATGATTAGATATTTCAGAATTACTTACGCTAAATAGTAAATACATGGTACGGTTCTATAAGCGTTTGAAAAGGTGCTATTTAACAGGTTTCAGAAAAAACTGTTATGCTATTGTTATATTCTGCTGGACTATTTTATTTATTTATTTCAAGTTTTAATCAGTAATCGTTTACCTATTATTCGAGACTCCTTTTCTAGAAAACCATTTTGCCTATCACCGATGCCGCAATGAAAGAGTAAGTTTATCAACAATTTGTAGAAAATGATACTGTGGACTATGAACGACATTTTTTTCTTTTTTGCCAATAGTATCGGCAAATGTAACAAGAAAACTTAAAAGAAATTATCCCGTATCGAAGCTTGACAACCTCATTTCAACACGCTACTGCATTAACATTCTTTTATCTTTCAAAAATGAAATTATCGCATGGTTAAATAATAAGTAGAATTAATATCTGCTTATTATAGATAAGATAAGAAAGTATCGCGACGAATCTTGAAAAAAATTCCTGAATGAAACGTACGGAAATTGTTTTCACTGTTGTTAATCAAAGACATTATGTTATAGAGGATTAGATACGATTCACGATATGATTTCCACGACGAAACGTGCACTGTACAAAATTTTACATATTACAGTGTGAGTCTACAATAGACTACATTACGTTTTATTTATAATAAAAAAAAAAAAAAAAAATTAAAAAAAAATAATAATAATGTGCATTAGTTCTAAAGAAAGGGCTAATATTATGTATAGGGTGTTTCGTTTAAATCGGAGTGGTTAAATATTTCATGAAATGAAGCTGTGAATGAAATGTTCTTACAAAAGTTATTCGGTCCAAATAGACAAATGATGTGGCGTACATGATATTGATGTAAGTATAGTAGCGGTGGAGATTCGTAGAACAAATTAATTTGTTTGTTGAATCCCCTCCATTACTTTACAAACGACAATATTATTTAACACGTTGATCGCCACACGTCACTTAAATAATAGGCGACAGCGCTTTTCATTGAAAAACGAAAACTATTAATTCTGAAAGTTAAGCGTCATAGGAAATGAATGCAAATGAAATACTTGAATTTCGATGAAGTTACAGAACTAAGTACAAAAATAAATGTTTCGTTACGCAGTTTCCAAAAGTCTGTAAACAAAATTAAATCGCGGTAGAAATTTTCAAGAGTATCAGTCTGGCAGTGAACGTGTTGATACCATACAGTTCGTCCATTCGAACCAAATAACTTCCGTAAGAACATTTTGTTCGTAGCTTCATCCCCTCGTGAAATATCTAACTATTCCGATTTAAACCAAACACCCCGCATATATGCACGGAATAGAAGCAGATAAAATGCGTAACACTTACTAGGGCTTGGCACCATTAAGGATTACAGGTAATTGATAATCCTTGGCCGCTGGTCACATTTACGGCTATTTCGCGCGCACAGTACCATGGTTGCTTAATTATTATCCAAAGTCACCGATTGAGTTACTTTCCATTCAGGTAGTCTCGCCGCAGCATAATCAATCACAACGCGCGGTATTACGTGCGAGCACTATCGTCTGGATTTCTGGAAACGCATTCGACAATGCACAGACACTTTTAGAAAACACATCGAACGAAGCGGCCATCGGTATGCGCGCACACGCTTGATAAAATCCACCAGTGAATTATTTACGCGCCTAACGGAACGAGAGAGGTTACGGGAGGCAGCTTAGGGTACGAGGTGATCCTCGAAGAAAAACAAAAGAGGAATATAAAAATGTGTAAAGTAAACGTAAATGAAAGTAAACTAAACGTGGTGGAAATTAATTCTGTGGCTCTATATTCAACTATAGAAGAAGGAAAGAATCTAAAGGCACAGAATTAATTTCTGCGACTGATATTTCCAAAGTGTTGCGAAAAGTGTAAATACGGCACGAATGACAGTCACAGATAGGAGATCGGCGAGGAAAGAATAGGACATCGGTAACGAGCAAACGCGAAATGAGATTGCGACGATTTTTACATGGCGTACACTAGGAGCACTATTCTCACCAGTAGCTAAGATTAAATATTATTTAGACTACCGTAGACTCTATGTAATCAAACATTTATCATGGTATTTATTTTTGTAACTACGTCAAAATTCATGAATTTCGTTTAAATTCATCTCCTTTGATGTAAACTTTTCAGAATTAATCTTTTTAGTTGTTGAATGAAACACATACATGGGTGACACGGCAATCTACGTGTTAAAGAGTCCCATCGTACGTATCCACTATTGGTAATTTTTGTTTGCGCCACTCGAGTTTTATTCTCAACTAAGAATACCAGCAACCAGTTTCCGAAACATTGATTTCGAGTGGCCCTTCGATCGAGACTCTTTAGGCATCTGTCATTATCATCTCCAGGTTAATACGTCACCGATTCTCACTAAAAATCGTCACGAATTCGCGAAAATTCACGTACCGCGTCTACTAGCTCCATCTTGACTCGTGAGTTAAGCCGGACGCGCACGTTTTTTCTGTTGGTCGTCCTCCCCGATCGTCGCTTGTCGTCGTCGTCGTCGTCGTCGTCGGTCGTTCTGGTCAGCGTCTTCTGGTCGTCTCTAACTCACGGAGCACACTATCGCGCGCACGTCGCTGTTACTCACTAACACGATAAATCCATTGTGAGAGAGAGAATTCCTGGCCAGCACATTCCGCGTGTACGTAAGTACGTGGGGATACGAGGGTGTATGAGCGGACTGAGCCGCGCTGCGGGGTCTCTCGGCTCGAGTCGCCTCGAGTCGAGTCGAGCCGAAGTCGAGTCGCTTGCTCGTTCCGCGGATGTCGTCACGAGGCGAGGGAAGAGACAGAAGAAGAGAAAGACGCGAGGAGAGTGGCGGGAGAAAGGGAGCCGATACGAGAGAGGGGAATACTGGTGGGGGGAATAGCAGAGTTAATGTAACCGAGAGAGAGAGAGAGAGAGAAAAGAAGAAGAAGAAGATACATACAAAAAGACGAGGAAACTACGGAGAAAGAAGACAAGAAAGACAGAGGAGTGTCGAGGGAGAGAGGGGTGGGAGGAGGGTTAAGAGAAAGAGAGAGGATCGTGACCGAGCAAAGGCGAGGGAGGAGAGGCAAGTACGAGTCGTGTATGGTCGTCGTATAAATAGACGAGAGACGATATAGGCATCGTATAGTATAGTAAGACTCCTAGGGCAGGTAGTGGATGCTCGTGACAGCGATGAAACTACCTCACTTCTCTACCACGAGCATTCGAGAGTCACTGACACATAATGCAAGAGCTTCGCGCACGTGCATACACGTACACTGGCCACGCACACGTAACTGCGTTCCACAAGGAAGCACACGAGCGAGCAAACGAATAGCACGCACTCAAATGGAACATTCTCAGCGACGTTGACGCGCGCACGCGTAGCCACGCACACGTATACGAGCGTGCACGTATACACTGGGGCTGTGAATGCTGTTGTTCGGTTGTAGTTGTGCCGTTGTCCGTCGTCGTGGTCTCGTAGACCGCCACTCCACCGTGTCACCTATACCGTGGGTATCGACGATGAACGTAAGAATCGACACGAATTCCCGGGGACCATAGCCACCAACGATCCCGGGGGCTTGTGCTGCCCTTGCCACTGCTGCTAATTTTCGGTCGACTCGGTTCGAAACCGAATGCGCGTGCACTCGCGTCACAAAAATCCGTCACAGTAGACCGAACGACCGATCGGGAGGAGATGGCGACTACAATACTACGACACGGTCATGACGTCCTCGGCGGTGCACACTCCAGGATACACTTTTATTTACCATGGTTTACGGAAACCGAATTATTGACATCTCTCATTACGTGCCTCCGTGGTTAGCTTTTCTCTTTCTATTTCACTGGAGTCCGCGATTCCGCTCTCTTTCAGCTCTCGCTCTTTCTTGTCATATGCACGCGTATGGACTCAGTTGTTCAACTGAACTGGCTGTGACTCGTCGAGCCATATAACCGAGCAGGCAACACGCACACACTCTACCCCACTATACTACTCCGTTCGTACTATTACCACCACCACCACCACCACCGGGCTCCACCACCGCCGCCGCCGCTACCACTGCTACTACTACCTTCTTCTCCTCGTCCTTCTCCATCACCGCCTTTGCTTCATATCTTCTCGTCGAGTACATGCGGACGGATACACGCGCATGGGCCGCGTAACACACCGCTGACTAGTGATGGGATCAAGTTCAATACGTTAGAATCCGAGTCAAGTCCACTATTCCTGATACGTTACACGGGTAGAGTGTTACTCGTAATTGGACTGCGGATTTCATCCATTTATGATACAATCGAATATAAGAAATATATAGTAAATAAAATATGGCCAAAAATGATATACACTTGTGCCAAATCAAATATTAATATTATTACTATTATCCTACATACATTATAGAGATATCATATTGTTTTAATGGTGTTAAAACTGGATACAAAATAAGAAATATTGGACAAATTATTTAATTAATAATTGTTTTCAGTTTTTTGATAAAAATTTACCAGCTGTATATACAGAGCCTTTCATCAGTATTAGTATACCTAATTGTCTCCTATGTTTCCGACAACAGGGACAAATGTTTCAGACGTTGTCCGAATCGGTTCGATGAAGGAATATGATGCAATATAAATGTATTACAACCATCAATTTTATTTAATGCTCATTTTATTTTGATCCTTACACTTATAGCCGTTGAAAAACGATATTTCATGTACAATCCTCGTCTTCATTCCGTTACTCTCTTTTATGACATTCCCGAACATTGAAAATACGATTTTTATGCGATGTAAATATTTAGTTATTACGTTATAATGTTTTTACCATTTTATTTGTTGGTTTAAAAATTATTATTCGAAAGAATTTAAAATGTGATTAGAGTTGATTTAGATTCGAGTTGAGGAAACTGTTTTTGTTTAGAGGGTTTGAATCGAAGTTGTGTAAAATTGTATAGTATAGCAATTTATTTGCCGCACTCTATCGAACAGTTATTCGAGCCGCGCTTCATTCGTTTAACTTGAAATATAATTTTATTTTATGATTAAACTCCTCGAACTCAGAGCCATCTCGTTGAAAAACGTGCAAACAGGAATCGCGTCATATTAACACTTTACCGACCGTTAGCGTTTGGACGTACACTCAAATTTAATAACATTTAGAACTACGAATTTAATTGTAACGATGTTTGGTTTACACGAATGTTTAAAAATCGTATTTACAAATAAATACCCATTCAAAACTGATTTACCTCGTACTCGTTATTCGAAAGTATGCACTTAACCTCTTGAGGGACGAAATTTAAATGGATTTTGTTTTGCTCCAACCCAATAACACACACACGAAGCAACTTTAATTATAAAGACAAATATGTTGTCTCGCTTTAATATTATATATATATATTTTAATTCTAGAAGGTATTCCGATCGTAAATAACGCTAATTTTTCCCTTAAGAAATTAAGGATTTGCCCCATCTCTGATTCGAGTCTAGCCAGTTTGGAACCGCGACTCATAAGACATTTGATCCCATCACTATCGCTGACCGATTCGAGCGATCCGAGACGGCGCGCGCACACTCACTGACAGCCGCTGTTTCACTCGCGCCAAAGCCATCGTGCTCTCTCGCAGAACTCGCTACCCGACTCACACCAGCGTACGTGTACCATACAAAACGATCTCCCTCACAGAGAAGCAAGCGGCCAACCCGTACGTGTGGAAGCCTCTAACCCGGAGCACACCTACGCACACCAGCCGAGCGACTACACCGCCGACGGACTGTAGCCTCAGGACCGTAGCCATGCTCCCCGCGGACCCGTGGCTACGCGTAAATACCTTCACCACCTCCCTCTTTACAAGGAATTCGTCGGTGTGTCTATCCCCTACGGTCCCTCAATCGTCCCACATTTAACCAATTTGCATATCACACGGAAAACTGGACAATTCGTACAGGGTGTAAAAAAATGTTTGGTCTTGGCAAGCATAGGCGTATTCTACATCTTCGGATCGATGAAGATTTGTAAACAAACGTTGCCGCAAAATTGTACCTATCACCGAAACTTTTCTCGTTTGTACGAAAATGTTCGAAAATTGAACAATTTATTATCTTTTTTTTTTTTTTTTTTTAGATCGTTGTTTATTGATACTAATAAAAGAGACGAAATCTAATTATTTTACGCAATATGATAAGACTTGAAATGGTCAATGCATAACGCCACTTGACGATTATCGCATTGATAAAATGTGTCTCGTTTTCTCCTTTCCTTGTGACAAACTTTAGACGATTTCTGAGAGATATAGTGGGATATTTTTTGACTCGTACAGGTAAATTGTTTTATAATAAAGGAACATGTTGTTCGATGTTTTGTATCAATTTTGTGGCTGAGTAATCGATGGATCGTAATTCTGTTTTGCAAATAAATTCCACTCGTACCGTAGACAGTAAAAAACGCCAAAGGCAAGCAGATGTAGTCTACGATTTTATTAAAGAATTTCAAATGACTCGCGCTTGTAGTACTCTCGCAAAAAATTCTATAACGAGTACTTAGATTTCCGTTTGCGAACGAGGATAACTCGTCAACGCAACGTCGATAAGCTTCCGTTTCGCTTTCTGCAATTACCTTCAATTCGTTCCACTTCTAGAAAGATGATTTCACGTGTACTTCGAAACAAACGGTGTTACAGTGCTCGCAACAAACACACCCTTGTATAAATAATCGCGGTACGTGGATCGGTGTGTACCCTATCCGGCAGTTCCGTGTTTGAACGCGAGAACGAAACCCGACGAATGTATTTGTTTAATAAACGAGCGCCGATAAAATTATTATTGTGTTATTTAACTCGATGCGATTTAATAATAACGCGGCCGGGATGTGTGTCAGTGTTCGTGCGGAAAACAATTAAACGTATTTCTTTGAAATTCCTCGATAAAAGGGCAACTAAATCTATTTTGATTCACCCTTCGCGGAACAAGCAGCGCATACTAATTCATTGGTATTAAATGGTGATCGATAGTTTCATAAAGTTTGAAGTACACGTGATTTATGCGTGAAAGGTGTACTTTATAATAAGAAAATTCAACGTATCACATGGAAAGCACGTAGGAAATATTTCCACGTGAGATTGCAAACTATTTTTCGTACGTTGTTTCACGATCCAAGCTTCGTCGACTATCACAAATATCATTTAATTTCTGTACACGATGACGTTATGAAATATTCACTGCGTTTAACACCGTTTGGTCAACCTTTTAATTGAAATATCTTGGATAAAACGCTGATCAATATCCCGCAATCTTATTAACGCAATAACTGTTTCGCGTTGAATTCGAATGTTATCTATTTAGTTTGCCGCTGTTAATGTGTTCGCGCAAACTCTTCTCTCGGGTGCATTTACAAACTATTCATAAACTATAAATATTTGCTCAAGATGCTCAAACTGCTTTCAAGAGATGATCATCTGCTTGCCTAGACGTAGCAACTTCGAAGTCAACATCATTATTCATCGTTTAAAGCCTTCGAATAATACCAGCCACGAATCGGAATGATTCCTGCCACGTTCGCGTCATTTTTATTCCGTTAATTTCTAGTCCTAATTCCTTTTATTTCAATAAAGTACTATGAAACAAAAATTTACCTCATTCTTTTAGATCAACATCTTTTACATCAACATAGAATAAAAGAAGAAGGTAGACCTTGCATTAATTTCCCTGGACTTAATTCCCATGTAGGATTCTGTTTCAGTGTAATTTGGCTGGCTAGTCTCTCGAAACGAGGCACTTGTTTTTTGTCGAGTGTCATGACCATACGTTAAAATCTACGCATGCATCGTAGTAGACATCTGGCGTAACAGTAGCCTCGCGTATCCCGTGCGTAAGCGTTTGTAAGAGGCTCGTGCATCGCGCAAACGCACGCATACCTGTACCTGCGCACACGTATTTACATCTCACAGAGCTAGCACTATGCAGGCCCGAGTTGATACAGGCGCGTATTATACTATTCGCTATTGGCTACCAATGTATGCAGAGTAAAAATCGGTAAATGGAAGTGGAATTTCATAAAGGTGGATACTTTTCGTAACAAACAGACTCGATCGTAGGCTTGTGATTCGCTTTCACGAGTTAATTGTTTGAGTAAAACGAGACTCCTTGGCAAATTGTATTTTTCATTTCAGGATGATGTTTTGATATACGGTCAGTGTAAAGGTCGATTCAGACTATACGACACGACAAAACATTAAAGCACGCGTCTTAATGGAACTATTCACACTTAACAGACACCAACCCGAATGTTCCATCAACGGGAATAGTGCGAATAGTTCCATTAAAACGCGTGTTTTAATGTTTTGTCGTGTCGTTGCCGGAACGTGACGGTCCGTGTCGTATAGTCTGAATCGACCTTAAGAAGTATTCGCAATCCACGAAGTAATTGCAATTGAAATTGCACAATGAAATTTGACTTCACGTTGATTACATAAAAATTGATTCGAAAAATACTATTTTCATTCGTCATCTATCGAATGAAGAATAACAAAATTCTGCCCATCTCTAAATTCTGCCCATCTCTAAATACAGCCCTGCGCATAATCCATACATAAGCGTGCATGCACATCGTAAGAAACGAAAAGGGAAAAAGTAAGAAAGGCTCGGTGTATGCGTACACGCATACAGCACCACACGTACATATATACCCCTGTACGTGCATCTCATTGGCGTAGAAACATTTTCCCCGTGCGTTTCTTCCTAAGCGTCAAATGGACTTTCCCCAGCTTGG